TTCTGCTCCCGTAAAGATTAGCAGCCTCGGAAACCCTGTGCAGGGTCGCTATGAGTCAGAACCGACTCCACGGCACACAACATAGTCCTAGGAGGCCAGAGTGCCTGAGGGGTGCAGAAGGGGTTGGAGATTCCAGACTACCCAGAGGTGCATCAGAAGAAAGAACTGGTTATCTAGTTCCCAAACCTCTGCCATTGGCATCCCTATGGAGTGTGCACAGTTCTCAGCTCACACACACACGTTTGCCACAAGTGGGGGTTTACTTATTGGCAACTGGTTTTATTTCTTATAGGCAATTTCAATTGTTAAGAATCAACATTTTGGGGAGGGCCTTAAAAACTGACATTTTCCATTTAAGTTTTTTTTTAAAGAATATGACTTGTGAATGGTTTTGTTTATTCTGAATGAACCCTTGAGAAAATGCACCTGTGTACCTGGCCCATGGGGTACAGGGGAGGGCATCCTGCTGGTTAGGGGTAAAGAGTTTTAACAGAAAATACTGGATTCTAGCCCACACTGTCATAAACAGCCTTTCCGAATGTCCCCTACCTCGTGACACCTGAGTGGGCAAGGGGCTTCCAAGCTAATAGGCTGAGGTTTTAATCTTAGAGAATGGCACAGTCAGAGCCTGGATCCTTCTGTCTTTAGGGGATTAGCTCCCGAAGACCTACTGTGGTTAAGATCGGAGCAGTCAGTCTACAATCCACGCTCAGACAGGAACAAGAAAGCCTCCCCACCTCGCTGGCGCTTGGAGATCTCGCTGGAAATGGGGACAGCGGCTGCCACGAAGTCAAAGCCACAAGATCAGCAGCCCCAACCTTTCTCCCTTTTTTTTTTTTTTATTTATAGATTTTGATGAGAATAGATAGTCATGCCCCATTTCAACCATTTCTACAAATAATACAATCCGGGACATTGCTTGAATTCTTCCGAGTTGTCCAACCATTCCCCCCATCTCTCTCCAAACTGCCCCACCATCATCCCCAGTTTCCCCTCTGACCTTTCACATTGCTGCTCTTACTGAGATACTCCTAACAGAAAACACAAGCTCACAGCAGACAGACTGTACTTACTTATTAAGATAACCCGGGTTTGGCTTCAAAGATGCCTTCAAGGGGTCAGCTTGCTTCCTTTAACATGGGAGTCATCTTCCTTCCAAACCTGTAGTCACAGTCTCATCATTGCAGAAACTGACCCTTCTGGTCAGTTTCGTACAGTTGCTGATCTGAGCTAAATCCAAACCTCCCTTCAGAGCGAGCTTAAGCCCCACTTGCAAAGTGTTCTATTTCGCACCAGATGCAACTTTCAAATCCTCAACAGCCCCCTCCTGCCTAGCTGTGAAGGCCCTGGGCTGAACCAGGCATGTGGCACGTGCTCAGTGTTGGGGGATGGATCTGCCTCCGTTCAACCACTTCTATATATTCACAATCTCCATTTCTTCTAACCCAGCATCCTGTCTTCCCTTCCTAGGGTTACCTTATAAAGAGAGATGTAATGCTCATAGTTTTGAAAGCTAGAAGTTCGAATTCAGGGTGTGCTGTCTCTGAAATCACAAGGAGAAGTCCCTTCCTTGTCCCTTCCAGCTTCCAATGCCCCAGACGTTCCTAGGCTGGAAGCTGCAGTGTTGTCTCCTGTCTGTCTCTGAGTCTCATCTTCTGTTTCACAAGGATAACACACACAGAGAATTAGGACCCCCTCTGTGTGACTTCATGCTAACTGGTAACATCTTCAATGTCTCTATTTCCATACAAGGTTACGTTCACAGCCAAGGGTTAGGACACCAACATGAAGCTGTGGGAGACACAATCCAACCAATAACATGTTCCTTTCACAAGCTCCATTTGGCCCTTTGCCACTCGGGAGCCTTGAACCCCAAGCAGCCAAAGCTGTACCCCAAGAGGCACATTCCAGTCGTGACCAACCTCCATACCTTGACTAGCTCCTTGAACTTGGGGTCTTCCTTGGAGCTGGGGTTGATCATCGTACGTTCCTCATTCTCCTCTGTCAAGGGAAAGAAGGCATTAGAGTGAGTGTCTCGGTGAGGGTGAACCGAGAGGCCAGGGTAACTCTACTTGCCTCACACAAATGGGCAGGTAATGGACAAGGAACAGATACCCAGTCACTTTCTCAGGAAGGAAGGACGAAGCCCTGGGTTGGCCAAACATCAAACCACTCAGCAAGGGGGTCTCCAGTGGCAAGACACTGTTTTCTGGAAGATGCGTCCATCAGGACCACCTTGAACCTTCACCTCATTTCTCAGAGGGATGGGGTCAGACTCTCTCATTCTTTCAGGCCTCCCCCTCCCTCACTCCACTTGACAGCTCTGCTACACAGGACAAATGACAGGAGAGGTGGCATTTGAAAGGTTTCAGCTTCAGAATCTGATGTGTGAGCAAAGCTTAGTATGCGACAGCATTCCCTGAGCCATCTGACTTTAATAATGCCTTTGGTGGTGGTGCTGAGAATATGCACAGCAAAACAAATACCAACAGCTTCCACATGTATGATTCAGTAGCGATGCTTACATCCTTTGACGTGTATAACAATTCTCGAGCTTCTGAGTTATTCTTCCACGTGACCATGACCGGACTTACCACCCCCTAAGCTTTCTACCTGATCAGTTGCTGTTGTTAATCAGATCCCACAGAGACAGAGCACAGTGCTCCAAGCAGAATGTGAGACCCTATCCAGAGAAGCAGCGACACCAGAGATGGAGGCAGAGATGGGGACATGGAGAGAGGGAGCTGCTGAGGACTCTAGATTCATGGAAAGAGAAAGGCTGAGTGCTGGCGGCCAGGAGACACACTTGCGGAATGTGCCTTTTGGTGGCATCAATTATTATGTATGCCTGAGTGTTTTTTAAAAAAGAGAGAGAGAGCTCAAATGAATAGAGAGAAATAATGTTAACTGATGATACATGGTAGGGATTATAACCATTGTAATGAAACAAAGTATATGATTTATTGAATGTAAAACTGATGATCTGCCCTGTAAACTTTCACTCAATTCACAATAAAAACTTTTTTTTTTCCAAAGAGAGCACAGTGCTCAAGGCAGACATTCTCTCTGAAGACGTCAGAAGATATTTTAAAGATGGCAATAATTTGGGGGTTCATACAGCCTGGATGGCTCCAGAAATTCTGGATTTCATGAGCACTTGAAATTCTGTTCTAGATTCCCCCCCCTTTTGATCAGGATTACTCAATAGAATCTTAGATCAAAATTTTCAGTAATTGTATCCAGGTATCATCCAGGTCTGGTCTCGTGACAAAAAAAAAGCAGCTGGTTCTAGGAGGAATTAGCTACACATTCCACCACCTCCCCCATTCCTGACTCTCCTTCTTCCTCTGTTGCTCCAAGCGAATACCAATGGCTGCTCACAAGCTTTGAAAACCCCAGGCACTAACTATGTCATGAGCTAGCATGTAGAGCAAAATCACTAAATACAACATTAGGTTTTGCTGAATGGAACCATAAGAACCCAGTGCAATGGTGCCTGGTCCCAGCTCTGGAGGCAAAATGCCTGGGTTTGAATCCCAGTTCCTCATTTAGTACGTGATTCAGCTTCTCTGTGCCTCAGTTTCCTCATCTGTAAAATGGTGATAATTATACTCCCCGCCTTACAGGATCATTCGAGGAGGGAAGGAATGAGTGGGAACAGTGAAGTCGGTTCTTAATGTGAACTACGAGGGATCCTTCCTTAGATGAACCCAAATGAAATGAAATCTATTATAAAGGGATTTTACAAAGAGTCTGGCATTGCCCAAATATTCCCCAACTTCATTTCAGTCTAATCTTCATGTTTCACTATTTCTTTCTAAAAGCCTACTCTGAGCATCGGCTGGGAGAGCTGCCCAAAGTCACTGACAGTAAGCTGGGAAAAGCAGCAAGATGCTGTAGATTGCAGAAAGCATGCCCTGGAGCACCAGGGAATACATATTACTGCCCCACGAACCTCTGAATGCCAGACTGGCTGCTCCTTACCGAGGCCACTGGAGGCTCACCAGCCAGCGAGCCTCTTGGAGCCAACTGCACATGGCCAAATCCCATCCACAGAGCAGCCATGGCCTGTCACCTGACCTCTGGTTCCTGGGACATTGCCTTGCAGAAGACTCCATCCTGTCACCTGACCTGCAGATTCTGGATGTGCCAGCCCCTGCGCCCCTGTGAGCCAGAAGAGACCTGCAATCTGCCACATGACCTGCAGATTTGGGGTTTTTGGACCAGCAGAAGTCTTCAGCCTGTCACCTGAACCATGGAATTGGGACTTGCTGGTCCCCAAAACTGTGTGAGCCCATCTCCCTCTGTCTGTATATAGGCTTACTGGCTTTGCACCTCTCGAGAGCTCAGACTAAGACACTGGGAGAGGAGAGTCAGGATCCAAGGAAGGGGACGTTCAAGACGTTAGTTACAAAGTAAGAGTCTAGCACAATGCTTAAGAGAAATCTCTCTTAGGGGAGTAGTTAATCTTACAGTCCAGGAACAGAGAACCCTGGGACCATCAAAGGAGAAGGGCAAGAACAGAATGTGGAACCCTATCCAGAGAAGCAGCAACACCAGAGATGGAGGCAGAGATGAGAACATGGAGAGAGAGAGCAGCTGAGGACTCTAGACTCATGGAAAGAGAAAGGCTGTGTGCTGGCGGCCAGGAGGCAGGCTTACAGAATCTGTCCTTTGGTTGTTTAAATAATTATATATTCCTAAGTAATGCTGTGTACACCCCCCCCCCACACACACACACACAAGAAAAAAAAACCCAGAGGGAATAGAAGCAAATACTGTTGAATGATGATGCATGGAGGAGACTGTAATCATTGCAATGAAATGATGAGTGTAAAACTGATGTTCCCCCATGTAAAGTATCACTTAATTCACAATAAAACTTTCAAAAAAGAGAGAGAAAAAAATCTCTCATTTCCTAGAGCTTCTGCTGGCCTACACTGGAGGTTCTAGGCAGGAACATTCGTGTGCCCCCCACCCTCCCACACAGACTTTGGTGAAATCTACAGACATTGGAGTCCCGGTGTGGCGCTGTGAGTTAATGCGCCAGACTGCAAAGCCATTTGAACTGCAAGGTCAGCGGTTCAAGCTCACCAGCTGCTCCTTGGAAACCCTATACAGGGTCGCTATGGGTCG